GGGGATATTCTCTGATGCGCTCCGCCGGCCATCGACCCGACGGCCAAAGGGGCTACCTTCAGACTTAAGGAAACACTCGATGACGTTCTCTAATAATTCGGAAACCTGCGGCAGGTATCGAATCCGGCATCTGCGGGTTTCTTCACGCTCATCTAGCTATGGCCTACATCACATGTATTGCGACGTTGGCAGTTGCTCCTTTACTGATCTACGGTGTGCTGCTACAACTGACGTTGTCGGCGCTGCCTGACAACGTCGCGCTCTCTGAGGATCAGCTCATCTTGAAACGTTCAACGAAGATAGCGAGAGGAGTTCTCGTAGGAGGTTTCGTCCTCTTCCTGCCCATACAGGTGAGGAGACTAAATGCTTGAAATGATGAGGATCTGTTCTCAGATCTCAGAACTGGGAGCGACGCTTTCCCGGTGCCCCAGAGTAGGCTGGAGCCTCCGGCCCCGGAAAGCCGCATTCCTGTGCTCCCCAGTAAACGGAAGATATTGGGTCGGATAAACAATGTACGATGCAGCAGAGAACCGATGGTCGCTGCTCTATTCCGTATACAGGTGTAATAATCAAAAGGTCTGGAGCGACTCCGGAACTCGTCTATACTTCTTACGCGCTGACGTTTGAAATTCTCCCCCAGTTGCTGAACCTGATTGCCGATGGAATCCTAGTCTCTTTCACGAAGTGCTTTTTCGTCTCTCATTGTCTCTTGATAAATGTTTGCATCGCAGAGGTCATCTGCTTTGCCTTCATGAATCCGGTCTTCCAGCTTGAGTATAGGTGAGCTCGATGAGGTACTGGATGAGTTCCGAGGAACTCGAGGCATCTCTCATCCCCAGGCTCCCGGGAAGTCGGGACAGCGAGCCTAATTTAGATCGAATTGAGATTTTCTCCTCTCCCTCAGATCGCAGGACATCCTTTCCGGCTTTTGAGGACGAGGATCCAAGAGCCACGGAGACGCATGCATAGGTACTACTGTACTATATGTACGTCCGCCGAACTTGACCCGATGCCGAGGCTCCTGAGAATGACGGTGAGTCTGGAGGGGAACAGTCTGGGAAGACCGGCCCCGATCGATGGCGAATCGAAGGTCGACTGATCCTTTCGAAGGATCGATGACCTTGCCAGCGAAACA